ATTATAATTGGCCTTATCTCTAGTCGATGTGAGACTTCCAACAATGGTGGTGTATTTATGATGATGATCATGAATTTGTGGTGCTCTAGGTGATGCTATGTTGATAGTAGTGTTACTATGATGGCTATGCTAAATGGTTAGCACATGTGTTAATGAGTGGATAGAACAAGGGTTTATGTGTGAGATGTTAGTAATGACATCAAGGGCCGAGGAATCAAGGATCGGGGATTGAGAGTAATTCATTGTGATTAAGTTGTTATGCTAGAAGATTAAGAATATTATAGTTATTACCATTGGGTATGGGGTGGTTTATGGTTGATATATATATTCAATGTGTTTATATCTTATTATTATGATGATTATTTTATCTATCTTATTATTATGAGCTTACCCCATACGTGTTTGTGTTTGTGTGTTGTGAACGAAATTATCAACGATAATCGTATAATGTGTTATACGTGAGTAGATGATGTTGCACATGGTGCTGAAGCATGATAGATTCGAGAGATGACAAAAAACAAACTCATGATTTTTAATGAAAGCTATTTTTGTTAAATTTAAAACAATATGTTGGAGTTATTTTTATTTATTCATTATTTCCATTATTTGAATAATGTAATTGGACAAGTCTTTCGAAACTAATATATTTTGAATAATTCATGGATGTTTAAATGTTATCGTTTTGAAAAATTCGTTTCCGTGTTATATGAAAGTTTTGAAATGTATGGTTTTAAATAACCCGTGACACTCTAGAAATTGAGGAGTTACATTCTTTGTCTTTAACATAAACTAAACAATTATCATCACGTTATTCTAGAGTTATTTATCAACAAATACTTTTTCATATAATTTCTTTGTAAATAAGAATAGAAAAAAGTGTAAACAAATACTAAAAAAATGGATGAGATTTATACTCCTGTTTTACTAGATAAAAGAAATAAACATTTTTTTTCTTAATTATTCGGGTAGTCCCCACTTTCGAGGAATCGTGTTTATTTGGTCTATGTTTTTAAAACCGTGTCAATTTCTTCTTAAATGTGTTAATGTACATTAATCAATGTCCATTGTGTTAATTTTCCAAAAACGGTATCAACTATGTGGTGATGTTACAAGACATGTTTACAACGAGTCAAAATGTGTAAATGTATTGTGGAATGATGTTCTTCACATGTCCTTTTAATGGAGAAGTTTGTAGCTTGCCCTAAGTGAAGCTTGAACACCAAATGAAGTTTGAAGTTTGGCCTAGTCTCCATTGTGCTCTTTTTTTTGTTGCGAGTTGCTTCATGAAGTGTGTTCCCGAATAGGTGCAATGTCATGCAATCAGTGTTGTTCGTCTTGCTCATGGGGGACACACATAATCATATATATTCAATACATACGCACCTTCGATCTTCAATGGAACCTACTATGCTGTAAAAGAAAGTTTGATTTTCCACTTTCACTTGATCGTTAATGAAATCCCCAATTTCGGTTCTCTTATTCGTAGTTGGAATCCCCAATTGGTAAAGGTTCACTAACTATTTGTTTTTTCTAAACTCTAACCCCAGTTTTTCACTCCAAAAGGCCTAAAATAGACACACAATCATATATATTCAACCCATACGGACCTTCAATCTCTAATGGAACCCACTTCACTGTCAAAAAAAGCTTGATTTTTCACTTTCACTTTGCCATCAATGAAATCTCCAAAAAATCTTCTTTTCTTCACAGTTGGAATCCCTAATTCGCAAACTTTCATCGACTAATTTTTTTCCTAAACCCTAATCCCAAATTTTCATATCAAAAAGCCCAAAGTAGATACAGACAATCATATATATTCAAGACACATGCACCTTCAATCTTCAATTGGATACCACTTCACTATCAAAGAAAACTCAATTTTGCACTCACTTTATCATTAATGAAATCCTCAATTTCCTTTCTTTTTCGCTGTTGGAATCTCAAGTGTTCACGGATTAATTTTTTTATAAACCTTAATCTCAAATTTCTATATCCTAAAGCTCTTACCCTCTATGGGCAGAAAACAAATGTTACCACACCACAAAATTCTCATCCTAGCATGGCTAATAAGTCAATATTAAATATTTAAATACCGCAAACAAAAATAAGCTTAACTAATGCATACTAACGCGTATGAAAACTAAACTTACTATTTTTTTTTTAAAGCAGAGAACAAATAAACACACCAGGAAGCATTGTTTAAATAGAACCTAATATAATGATGATTTTCGACTAAAGTCTCTTCTCATAATATTATGAGACTGTCATAATGATGAAAGACCCTTCAATTATTTTATTTTAGTTATATATTCTACAAATAATAATATAATATTAATAATAAAATAAATAATAGAGTAATAATATTTTAAAAATAAAACATTTTAAAAATAATTTATTTTATTTTACTTGTTTCCAATTTAATAACTTTCATTTTATTGTACTTCATTTACTTTTAAACTTATCTATTTTTTCGGCTTCAGCGTTTTTCCTTTGTACTTACCAAATACGAAACGCGATAATGATTTTCTGCCATTAGACATGGTTTAACAATCTGAACCTCCGGTGAATTCAATGCTCATAAAAGCACGTTATGGTACATGATGAATGGTGTGCACGTTGCATGCTTCCGCAAAGATGATGCCCACTACGTGTTTGTGTATATATAAGGTCAAGGCCAAAACCACAACACACATACTCACTGCATAAGAACACTACACACTTTGGTTCAGTTTTTCAAACATGGGAACCTCTTGCCTAAAATCTGCATCACTTCTTCATGATCTGAAGGTGACAATCCACAAAACTTCAACCATATTTCCATCCAAAGAAATGGAGAAGAAGTCCTTGTTCCTAACAAACATAGACAGAGTAGTAAACTTTGATGTGGACACGCTTCACTTCTTCGCAGCAAACAAAGCTTTTTCATTCCAAAAGGTGGCTGAGAAGTTGAAGAAGGCCCTGGAGGATGCTCTTGTGCATTATTCCTTCTTAGCCGGAAGGTTGAGACAGAATCCTGAAACCAAGAGATTAGAGATAGATTGCAACGAAAAAGGTGCTGAGTTTGTAGTGGCTTCAAGTAAGCACAAGTTAACTGAGATTGGAGACTTGGCTTATCCCAATCCAGCTTATGCACAATTGGTTCACAAGAGTAAGGATCTTCCACTATGCGCTGTGCAGGTAACTACAGTTTATCTTTGGGTGGCCAAAATGCAACATAGTTTGAATAACTGCAGTTGTTTGCCCTATATGTGTTCGACTTTATTATCATCATATGTATCAAATTGCTACCTTTTATTTAAGAAAACACAAATACTGAGTGAATAGAAAATACTATTATATATTTTTTTAATTAAAAGGTATAATGATGAAAGTGATTTTGGATATATATGATTATATCAGTACTTTATTCAGTTTTGTTTGCATCATCAGCTTTCTTTACCTATTTCAATCCTTCAGAAATTTTTTGTGGGCTCCTGCAATTGTTTCCTTCACTTTTCCTGGAAATAATTTAACAGAAAATATACTTCCTTAGTTAAAATTTTTTTTCAAAATTTTGGTGACTTCAGTATTTATATATATACATATATATAACCTCTAACTTTAATAGGTTAGTCAAATTATATCCTTAATAAGTTCTTATAATCTAACTTTAATAAATCTAACCCATGAATTGTATTAAATATATAATTGAACTAAATTTTATATTTAATGTAAAAACATCATAATTCATATATATTTTCTACATTTTCAAAAATGATATCCTTATGTGTAACTGAACAATGAAGACTAATTTTAAATGGATAATTAATAACTCTAGTTTTTATTAGATGATAAACTGAAACATTCGTACTAAGGAGGAGTTCAATCATTTACTAAAAACGACCAAGGTTTTAACTAATGACAAAGAGGAAATGTGGTTTTCTGAAGGTACGGATACAGTAGGAAATAATACAAAGAAAATCATTTTTTCAGGCTGAAAACAGATTTAAATGATAACAATTGTGGCAATTTAATTTAACTTTATATAAATTAAATATATCTTAATTTCAGTATGGCAGAGTATTATACTATTTCAAAGTTATTAACATCCCCTCTTTTAGGATTGATTTTACGCATAGTATTAGCATCCACTCTTGACAAATTAAATTTTTAAAAGAATAATTTTGATAGTTGATGTCACTATGAAATATTTTAAATAACATTTTGTAGTATATTTGATCATTTCTCTATCTAAACTCATGTCAGTAATTCTTCAATTTTTTTTAACCCTTTATCAAGACGTCGAGAAATAACTACTCTTTCTATCATTTGTATGTCTTCTAAATTTTTATATAAGACTAAATATAGTAATTTTTTTTTTCGTAATAAATAGTTATGAAAATTTTCAATTTTTACATTACATTCATTTTGAATTTTAAACGCAACAAATAAATAAATAAATAAAATGTTTTTAAAAATTTCACAATTAAAATGTAATTAAGAGATTAATTAGACCATGTTGGCCCATACTTGCTAGGTAGCCGAAAAATCAGTCTTGATAATTAAAGATTATATTACATCAACTATATAATTGCTCAAGCATTTGTGGCTTAGTTTTATTTCAATGAAATCACGCATTAAATTTAAAGTAGGACAATCTCCAATGTTCACAGAATTTAGTCCATATAAATCAATCACACTTCAGAAAGAAAATATCAAAAGTATTAATACAATATTGTCTCCCAATATATTATGAAAAACCTAAACGTTAGAAAGT